ACCAATCTAATCCACTCCTCAATCCCCTCACTCCCAATCCTTCCAGTTCACCCAATCCCCCAGCCCACTCCTCATCAACCCAACTCAACTCAATTCAAAGAGTCCAAGCCCAGACCAGTCCAGAACAGTCAACACATCAACACTCTATCCATATACCGTCCATATACTATCCCTTCCCTCCCTACTCTATCTAGCCCACCAGAAATTTAGTTGAGACAACTCCTCCAAACACTCGTAACACTCGTAACAAATATATCAAACCCATCAAATCCACAAAAAGTATGAAAAAGTATCAACAAACTAGCCAGCAGTCATTCATTCTTCCACTCATACTCATAGAGTTTGATTTTACTTACACCATCTACCCCATACCATACATACCGTACATACATACCACTTCATGCATATATACCTTTTTTAATCTACGAAGAATTCATCATAAAATACACTTACTTCCATTCCACATCACAAACACAAATGATTCAAGTTCAATAAAAACGTCAAGATCATTCATTAATCTCATCATAAACTTCAAACGTTGAAGTAATTTGTAGTGCTTCCGTAAGTGTAAACTGCCTCGAAAGCAGACAAATGAAAAAGAAAGAGAAGAAAAAAAGGTTGGAAAAAAAAAACAGCTGCCATTTGAAAAAAAGACGCCCTCATCATTTGAAGAAATTACGTAAAATACATTAAGTACAATTATCTTGATCTTGATCTTTTGGTTTGTTCGAAAAGAGGTTCTTATGTTGCATTCCCTCCCCTCAAAAGTAGGCAGGGTAGGTAGGTTGTGTGAAAATTTCCTTTCCCTTCCAATTCCAACCTACAAAAGAAAATAGTCCATCGCGAGTTCCATCGAGAAAGGTATTGCGATAAATATACGAATGACGCCAAATGCCCTGAATTCTGCCTTAGTAACACCTTGCTTTGCCGTTCATGAAGTTGATTGAGACAATGGCGGAAGAATTGTCGATGGAGCGGTTTGAGAGAGAAAAGTTGTGTATTGGTATGTAACGGAACGGGGGTCGAGAAGAAGACGATGTCATTTACAACATGGCGTGGTGACGAAACGCTGAAGGTGGAATGGAAGTTTATATGCAAGATGAATGTATGAGGATCTTTCGTATGTTCATGTGATCTTTGCGGAAATAGGGTCCAGAATGAAAGAGAAGAAAGTAGGTCGGTTAAAGGAAGATTTATGACCAGCTCTCCTTTTCCTTCAAACCACCAATTCGGTCCATATCGATGGATTGAAATCTGGTACCTCCAGTTTCCTTTTCGTAAGCGGGTAGTTGATCTTGGTCCTTCAAAGGCTCAAGGCCAACGCCAGTTTCCCCAACTCTGACGACAACCACGCGACCGCTCTTCTTATGTCCTGTGGATTCATCATGCTCATCGGGGAAAGTGATGCGAATTTCAGGAACGTCTTCGGGGGAGAGTGGTGCACGGTCTGAGGCCATCATGGATGACTTCTCATCATAGACATGGATGGTGGAACCGCGGCCGCCATAGGGGGTAGCCGTAATAGTCAATCGGCGGTGATTTGACTTTGGTGGCTCGTTGTGTAAGGGTAATTGCTGACGAGCAACGGCTCTGTTTCGGCGAAGCTTGCGCACAACATACAGAGCACCAGTTAATACGAGCCCAACGAATACGAGCACCATCAAGGCGATAAGAAGATCAACCATGGAATTTGACATGGTGGTAGTTGAAGAGTCGTCACGGACGTTGAGAATAGATGAGCTTCTGGCTTTGAGAGTTGATATCGAGTCCATTTGAGATACGATTATATAAATGAATGAATGAATGTGTGATTATTGCTTCGAGTTGTCGTTAAATGGGTCGTAATTGAGTATCGATGGCATGCACACAATAGTGAAGACCAACAAGGGTATTGAAAGGGGTATTGGCGCTGGCTATGGCTATGGCTATAAGATATGATAGTGTTAGCAATTGTTATCAAATCGAATGGATCATGATAAGACCAAAGCTATGCTATTCATTCTCTTCGATCTTTAAGGTTAAATCCTCCTGTGTGAAGAGACTCTTGAGTTGAGATGGCACAGTATGCAGCACACCTTGTTTCCCCATTTGTTTACCTCATAATGACAATAATAGAGAAAGAATAAAAAACCACTTACACACAGAGTAAAAGGTTCAAGACAAGAGTAACAAGAACTGCTACTAGAGTAATGAATGATTGGAGTAAAATTCGCTGAATCTCCTAATATTTTATTTCCTCCCGAACTGAGCTGGGCTGGACCTTTCGAAAGAATGGACGGTTAAAATCAACTGAAAAGAGTGAAGTTGATTTAAAACCTATGAAGGAGTATATCGAGATGGTTTGAGAAAGAATGTGGATATCCCGAAGGAAGGAGCGTTTACTTGTTGTCTTGTCTTCTGTATTTGACCCTTTTGGTGATTGTCGACACTTCTTCAAGTTGTATTATGAAGAGTGATAGAAGTTGAAGTAGAGAAGGTAGGTTAGAGGTGGGTAAGGTAGTAGAAAAGTAAAGGAGGGAATGAGAAGGGGAAGGTGAAAAGGGAAATTGTGAAAGTGTAAATATAAGTAAGTGCAAGCCTCGTTTTCTTAACAAAGCCAACCGATGCTGGTACCAGTTCCAATTCACTTTCTGCTTGAACTCAATCCAGTCCTAATTCAGATTATAAAAGTCAGTAGAAGTGAATAAAAACAGGAAAATAGAACCGTGCATATAAGTTTATAGACATGGATAAAAGTTCGTACCTGCTTTGAAGAGATCCACTTATTCAACTCATCCATTCACAGATGGATTTGTTCCTAGTCTAGAACCCTAATTTAATTTCCATCTAAACAAAAACGGTCTTTAATAAGATCTGATTGGTTGAATCAGCGCTGGTGGAGCAACTGTCATCAGGGAGATCAGGGACCAAAAGTAACATTAAATGTGATCTGACCAATCAAATCTTCTGTATGTTCTCGTTAAAGTTGCATGTGCCCCATCTATAATACTCCACCAAACATCCCATCAACTTGCATGGTACCTGACAAGTTACAACCATAACAATTTTAAAATGAGGGTTTTCCCACTTTGTCCATCCATAAGTGTTGAAATTTGCTCCTTTTCACTGTTCACTGCCATCATTCATCAAATCTAGAAGTCTTATTAATCCAGAAATCTAACTTCCGAAGTTCAGGTGCACTGTACTCGAATAGTTAATAGAGGTAAATATGAATGGATGGATCATGGATCATGGAGTATGTAAATGTTTCTATGAATAGAATACAGTACGAGTAAATTAGTGAGGAACCGACCGGTATTATCTCCTTAACTTCCTGGAGTTCAATCCAGTGGGCTGTGGGAGGGAGTCCAACTAAAACAAAATCCGAATAACTTTATGCTCACCATTATATGCTTTCAATAATGCATCATGCTTCTAATTCAATCTCGAACCGCCTGGAAGGTATCTATTGGAGATACGTACCCCTTCTTTTATCCAAATCCGGTATTGAAGCGGCTTGCAAGCGGTTATCGATTTCTCCTTATTAATTTGTAAAGTGTTCGGAGACGATTGATAGGAGAGAAGTTAATTCCTCAATACTCTCAATACTATTGAAAGATGAATTAAGATTCCCACCACTCTATAATGCAACCCAACCCACCCAGTATCTGTTTTCGTGTTTACGCACCTAGGTAATTTTTAATTAGATAATCCCGAACTTACCTGTACCGTACATCATATCATCATCATCAAAATCTACTGTACTTCGATGAAGGCATTTCCATCATCGCTGCTATCGCATCAATGACAATAAAAATGAAATCATTCGAAGTTCAATGTTTGTTTCCATTGAAAGTGGATAACTCATCATCGTCAAATCTGGCCTCACTCACTTCAGACGAAATATGCTTAAATAGTAAGATCCCCAAGAATGAATACCAATGGATGTTTCAAACAGATGAGGACCTTCATCGTTTTTTATTGGTAGCTTTGAAGATATGAACGAGCCGTGGACTGTACTGAAGGACTGAACAAGTCGCAGATCAAAAGATTCACTGCTTGCTGCAACCCAAAGGCGCGAGTTGCATTTTTTTCTCTCTTTTTCTGGGGGTTGTGCCGTCCAATTACTGGGGAGAGCACGGATGAAATGTTCAGTGCAGAAGCCATGAAATCCTTTGCTTGTTTCTCCATGGTAGCGGTCAGACTTCGAGACTCAACGTATGGAGAACTAATTTGTACTGTTCTAATCGTGGGCCGGTAGTTGATAAACAAATATATTGTTGGCTGAAGAACGAACGGTGAGACCATATGGAAAAGATTTTTCAGAATTCTCAGCATGTATGGTCACTAGGTAGGTAGATTCGTATTCGTATCGAGGCCGGCTGGAAAGGCCGTCGAATTCAAGCTCTTAGCTGTTACAGTAGAATGAATAATACTACCTACTGTACGGAGTACTGAGTTAGACAGATGGAATGTTCCAATATTCTATTTGTTTTGTTTTGGCTTCCTGCTTTTGGCATCGAAGATATTCGGGAGCTACGGTTATCAGGGGATCGACCGAAGATCCCATTGGCCTGGAACCGAACCGCTCAAAGCATCTCTCGTTTCCGAATTCCGAGCTGCAGGAAATCTTTTCGTATCAAATATATCCAAACACCAAAAACACGGGGGATCCCGCAGCTTAGAACCGATTCTTCAAGAATGTTGATGTCGACGTTTCAAGTAATACTTTTATATGTGTTTCCATTTTGCTGCATTCTTCCGAGTTGAGAAGCTTACTGCAGATGTGGTATCAGAAGTCTGAACTCAGAACCTGTAAGTTGTTGCTTTTGATAATCCATCTCTATTGACGCTCGCCCTTGCAGACCTCGGCCATCGAATGTATTTTCTTTTGGTGTGACTCATGATGAACACAATATGCAATCATGCAAGTCGTTGATTGATAACCTGGATATTGACCCGTCACGTGTTTTTAGGAGGCTCCCGACGACGCAGATCTGTGATGTAACCTCACTGGGCCCTCCAGCTCGTCGGTTAGAAAAGAAGCAAAATCCAATGGAATCCATTCGTTGGCCTCACCCTTCATTAAACAGCGGTGAGTAGCAGGAAAGTAGGAAAATTCGGAACAAATTGTTTATGGTGCATGTCCTAAGTGGCGTATACTTGTCACTTTTCAGATCCAAAGATTCATCTCTAAAGACCTTCTAGCGTGTACTTGTGTCTATACATGGTCTGATCGTCAATGTATCCATATCACAAGGTTCCTTTTCTTGCTTGTTTTTGCTTACACAGGCAAGTCCCAAAGCCAGCAAACGGTGATGCAGATGAAATATCGATCCGATCTCCTACGGCTTCGGCATCCATCGTAAAAAGATAGCGGGAGGACCAGTTGAATGGAACAGATTTGTTGGGTGGAGGTACATAGATCTGCAGGGAGGATGAATGCACCTATGCTGTTTCGACGTGGCGGATAATTTTCCTATGAAAGAAAAAAGCTTTGAAATATGCAAGAAGGCGGCCTACCCGTAGAAGGGCTCATAAACACCTTATACCACTGGTCTTAATCGTTGGTTGGTGACTCCCATATGGAGAAGCTTGCCCGACACGGCGACATGAAAGGCTCCAAGCCTTGACAGATAGATGTATTCTGGATTCTTACGTCGTCCATGAACGCCACAAGCGAGTAGATTCATCGTTGGCAACCATTGTCATGCGAAGGAAATAAGTGCCACGGTACATTTATCAATATACTGGTGTCTGTGTTATGTACTCATGCTACTTCCCGTTGATGGACCTCGAGCAACATTAGCGTGTTAGAGTTGAATGGCGGCAATGAGATGAATCTGCCGATCGTCTGGAAATAGATCTAGTCTTTGTAATAATTATGGACCATGGTATTGTGATAGTGAGTACGAGAATGATTGCTTCTCTCTGACAAGAATGGAGTAGAAAGAACAATAAATTGCTGGCCCCAAGCTGGATCTATGTATCGCATAGTCGTGATGACACCCGATTTCATGCGGAATAGATGGCGTCAAATGTGTTCCCCGGATGAAACATCAGCGTAATGTTGTTTCTCGGCGAATCATCAAGCAAGATAGAATATTAAAACTGCAAATGCAGAAAGATATTGAAGTCGATGAAAGCCCTCAACCAATTTGGTGTTAATAAGTACTGTGCCTCTTCATACTTCATAGACCTGAATAAATGAGGCTTAACTGAGAGTTGTCCTAGTTTGGATGAATTCCTGCCGGATTTAGCGGTCGGCGAATACATAATTAGCTGACATTTCCATTCGCATTCCATGGATCCCAATAATCCAATAATCAGCCCAAGAACCAAAGTGGAGGAGAATTTCATCCGGGAATGAGAAAACGGCTATGTTGTTGGGAATGAAGTCTATTTGATAATTGCATTCCAGAAAATTGTTAGGTATTGTAGATACTATGAAGAGCATAGCAATGAAGGGGTTACCTTATCCGAGGTCTGTTAATCTTAGAAGTTTCTCTCTTAGTATAGAATATTGAATTAATCTTGCTTCTTCTTGCTTCTTTTTACTCCTTTCCAAATCAATATTATTGAAGTATCTTGAAATAAATAAAGAATGACGCTAGATATAGATATAGATGTAATTCTCTGGGGTCAATTGATTTATCAGGGTCGAAGTCAAAGCAAACCGGAAGCTCTAGAGCCTTTAGATTTAGAACCACTGTAAAGGCTAAAATGAATATTCCGTGCCTATCAAATTTCATCCAAGGACTTTCAAGGCCCACAGATCATTGTCTGTGCTTCTTGGGAGCCCCTGGATAATTTATTTAAGGCGAGGGGAATCGGGAGAACAGGTAGTGGTGGTGTGGTGGTCCCAAGTAGTGGTAGATAATATAATGGTTGTGGTTCAATGTTGTACTGTAGTTGGTTTAAGCACTCCAAGAGACTCGAAGAGGGTAGAGGAGGGTTCACCGAGTTATAAAAAAAAGTTCCCGTAGACAAGTGAAAGAAGACCCCTTTCCGATGGACTTGATCTTCGTCAATTCTAGTCACCTTAGCAGAAATAGTTCCATCATAAGTCTCAGTTACTGGCATATGTCAAACGCCAACTGGAGGGACCGCCATTCCTTAGACCAGGTACCGAAAGATTAATATTATTAGAAGAGAAGCTAAAAGTAAAAGCCAATAGAGTACACAAATACAAGTACTCGAGTACATGAGAAGAGATTCAAGCAGCAAAGTAAAGTAAAGCAAAGTTAAACAAAATAAAACAGAGCAAAATACAAAGATACAACAGAAAAAGCCACCTTACCCTGTATTACATAAATATAACACAATCCTTTCAAATCCTCCCTTACTTCATTTATTACTAGGTAGGTAGTTACAGAATAACTAGTTCCAGTCCCAGCTTTAGAAAAACCCCCTCCCTCATCCCCATCCCCAAATCAATGATATCCAATTGGATCCTTTTTCCAAAGAAATAAAAATAAAAAAAGGCTCAGGGCTAGATAGAAATGTGCGCATCGATCTCGTTGAATAATCTATCTTAAACGAAATCTTTCAATCTTTACAGCTCTCTTCTCACTCTTCTCACTCTCTCTCTACTTTGTTCGAATTCTCTGCGAAAATTCCTTATTCTTTTCAGTTCAAATCCCCCCTCCCCCACGCCCTTCCAAATAAAACCTTCGACTTCACTTAACTTCTTAAATCTCAGACAGGAATCGGGATTAGATCTTACCTTACTTTACTTTACCTTACCTTACACCCTCTCTCATTTGCTCTCTCTGCCCTACCTACCAACTTTACAAGTCTTTTCCCCACAGCCCCTGCTCACCCCTACGCCCCAAACGATACCTTGGAAAGTGTACCGCCATACAACGAACAAGAAATCTATTTCGACTGTGCAACCTATTTATCTTCCTTTCCATTGATCATCGACGTCGTGGAACAGGGACTAACCGCTCGTTTCCTTAACACAAACCACAATCCGGACCCTCGAATCGATTCTCCACCAAAAAAATCCACCGAAAACTTTACGTTCCTGACGACTTTCCCCTTGCTTCCCCAGGCGCATCTCCCGCGTCAAAACCAACGAATTCCCAACCCCAAAAGGGCCATATTGACTCGATCAAAGCAAGACAAATCACACAAGAAAAAGGCAATTTACCGCAAAATCTTTTAATCTGGCTACTGCTGCGCGGGTGCCTACCTCTCTACAGAAAAGCGCGCTTCTTGACGTTGCATATGACAAACGAAGGGGTTGTGTCGCGCGACCTTTGCCCTACCCTTCATACTTCAACATATCCCTCCCTCCCCTCCCTCGATGCTCGACTCCTCATGAACTCCATTTTTCCGCACATTCTCTTTTTGTAAATGAGCTTTAACCACCGTCGATTACATATTCCGACTTCTTGCACTGGTAAGATTCGTCCTGTAACTCAGCTTAAGACCGAGCCCTGTCATCAGCCTTACCGCACGGCATATGCTGACATTTGTGAATCTCGACAGTCACATAGATTTACAGCCTGTTAAATACCTCGTAGAGAGACTTTTCTTTGGTTCAAGTAATCTGCCATCAGACATACCTGCTACTTCCAAAATATTTTCATCTGGTTTTTTTTCTCGACCAGAAATTTCCACGGACATACCGAAATTTCGATACATCTTCAACAATGTCCTCGGCCGCCGCAAACAGACCTACGGGCGCCATGAATGTGGTGAGCATCCTAAACTACCCAATATTGTATCCAACTAACATTTGAACGTAGCAACGGTCAACTCGATTTGGGGATTTCCCTACCGCACCAGGCAGACACAATAGCGGCGACAGAACGTCGCAAAGCTCAACGCTCGGCCAAACTTTTGGAAACGGCGGTACTTGGCAGCCTTCGAGTGGTATTTGGGGTAGTAACACAATCGGGAGTGGTTTTGCCAATACGAAGCGAGATGCTTCGCGCTCTCGAGGTATTTATACAAGCGAGATTCAAATTTATACATTCACTGATGATGGTCCAGTAGCAGATCATGACGGCTTTCCAGATGCTCCCAGTGGTTCTGGTGCCTTGGCCGCATCTTCAGAAGCTGATCCTTGGGTTACTCGTGCAAATGGACCTTGGAACCCTCCAGATACAACATCTCCAACATTACAATCCTCGCACAGCGGAAGTACCTCTCCTTCTCACGTCCGCAACAGCATCCCGTCACAAACACCACAAAGTCTCCTCGAATTACAAGCATACCAACAATCAAGACCTGCTATAGGTCAAGGAACTAGTTTTGGTCGACCACAGCCCAAGAGTAGCTTGGACCCCTCTTCTGGAAGCTTCAAATTTTCACGAAAACCTTCCTTTGGGTTTAACGACGACAAGGAGAATTCCTCCCAATTTTCGTCCAACCAAGACAGTGCATATGATATTGACGTATCATCCAGGGCATTCAGGATGGATCAATTAAGCTCTCAAAATGCAGGCTTCCTTGGCATAGGCTCCGCTTCAAGGGATGGAAGCATGCCTCCCCCCAGAACATCGGAGGCTGGCCTCAGCAACCTAGCATTCGGCAATGGGAATCCAGCCTTTGGCTCTATTGGTGGTCACACCCCTAACAATTCCATCCACTCACATCGTCCTTCTTTCTCTGCAATTTCTGGCTCGTTTGCACAAACCAATTCATCCAGATATGCTGATCTTACCACGCAAACCGAAGTCGAATTAAGGGAGAAGTTTGCAGGATTTGGCTTGACCAACGATATGGACCAAGTGAACGCATCTCAGATCAGTAACACTTTGAGTTCCTCATATTCTCCAACTCATCAGAACTTCAACGAACAGGCCTTCCAGGTCAACGGTGGATCAGCCATGTGGAATGATGGATCTAACGGTCCTAAGCTTCTCAATAATTACGATCATTTCTCTAATCAAGGTTATCTCACGAAAGGCCCACGATTTGATAGGGGTTCAGTCTCGCCTGCAGCAAGCGACTACCGTCGTGGCCTTAATAGCCCCAAGTACTTTTCCGGTACCCCTCCAACAGGACCTGAGCAAATCTATCGACCAAGCTCAAGAGCGGGCCCAAGAATACCTCAAGGTCCGAGTGAATTGGACCGCAGGCTTCAACATGTTCAGTATTCTCAAAATCAGGTCTATCTTTATAACAATGGCCATTTCCAGGGGCAATATCCACCGCATCTATACGACTTTCCACCACAAAGCTTTCGACAAACAAACGTACCACCATATGGCTATCCGATGCCACTACCTCCTTATCCGGCACAAAATATACCCACTCGCCCAGCCAAGGATCAAGATGTTGGGCTCGGAGTTAGAAGTGTACTTTTGGAAGAGTTCCGTTCAAATGCCAAATCTAACAAGAGATACGATTTGAAGGTATGTGTTGTTCCCTAACATCTCTAGTTTCGTCATTAATCTTGATAGGACATATATCAACATGTCGTTGAATTTAGCGGGGACCAACATGGGTCACGGTTCATTCAGCAAAAGTTGGAGACAGCCAATAGTGACGAGAAAGAACAACTTTTCCGAGAGATTCAACCCAATGCATTGCAGTTAATGACGGATGTTTTTGGAAACTATGTCATTCAGAAGTTGTTTGAGCACGGAAATCAAGTGCAAAAACGTGTGCTGGCCGAGCAAATGAAGAACCATGTGATGGAACTTTCAATGCAGATGTATGGTTGCAGAGTTGTGCAAAAGGTTTGTCTTGACCTTTCACATCATACAAAGCCTTCACTAACCGACCCATAGGCTCTCGAGCATGTTCTCGCCGATCAGCAAGCCGAACTCGTCAAGGAGCTTGAGGCAGATGTCCTCAAGTGCGTCAAAGATCAGAACGGCAATCACGTTGTGCAAAAGGCTATTGAGCGTGTTCCGACAGAACATATTCAATTTGTCATCGAAGCATTCCGAAACCAGGTCCACGTTCTAGCAACTCATCCTTATGGATGCCGAGTGATTCAGCGTATTTTGGAATACTGTCAACCTCGCGATCAAGAACGGGTCCTCGAGGAGTTGCATCAGTGCGCGTCGAACTTGATCACCGATCAATATGGCAACTATGTTACTCAACATGTTATACAACATGGAAAACCAGAGGATCGCGCCAAGATCATCAAGATCGTCACGGCACAGCTTCTGACGCTATCCAAGCACAAGTTTGCCTCAAATGTTGTGGAGAAGAGTATCCAATTCGGCACGAATGAGCAGAGACATACTATCGTTTTTTTGTTAACAGCTCTCCACAGCGATGGTACAAGTCCTTTGCAACTGATGATGAAGGATCAATATGGCAACTATGTCATTCGTGAGTCGAGTTTATCTCAGTTTGATTTGATTATGCTAATTTCAATAGAAAAACTTCTCGGGCAACTGAAAGGCGCCGAAAGAGCAGCATTTGTCGAGGATTTGAAGCCACAACTCTTGGCCCTCAAGAAATACAACTATGGCAAACAGATTGCTGCTATTGAGAAGTTGATCTACGGTCAAGATGACTCGCAGCAGTCTTTTGTGACACCACCAACTGGTCCGACTCCTGGAACTCACACACAACCGATGGAGATAAATTCGAGTGCTCCAACTCCGCTACTTACGAACGGACAAAATAGTCCCCAAAGCAGCAGTCTCCCTAGCGCAAACGTTAGTACAATTGACGATCCTACAGATAGTGCATCTTCAGGCAAGACGGTCGTTGCTGTCAATGAGAAGTCTTGCCCCGAAGTCATTATCAGTGGCGTCTAACTTGTTATTTTCCTTTGCCGAACATTCTCTTTCACTTCACGTCATATACAAAAAAAAGCATTATTAAAGGGCGTGACGATATTGGGTCCGGAAAGGCAATCGGGGACTGGACGGCTGGCTATAAAAGTGAATATTTCCCAATGGTTCTGTCTATGTCTTCGAAGCGTTTTCTGAAGGTGTTAGAGGGCGAGTATGGTCTGCTTTACTTCCGCATGGTTGCATGCATATACAAGCCTGGATTGGCTACGGCGGATTTACTGTGAATGAATATGGAAATGAACATGTTGTGTTTTTGATCAGTTATTTTTTTCTTGAACAATTACGAGTCTTTGGCATCATCCTCGGATCAAGAGAATTGAGGGAAAGGATCATGAATAACGGAAGAGAAAGTTCGCTCTATTTATACTTCTTGCTGCATATTTGGCATTGTTTATTTTTTGAGAGGAAAGAGGAAATATGGAAAGGATACCTATCGATCATACTATTTATTGTCTTTTACGCAAAATGCGCTGGTTATACTTGCTGTTTTGGCCTGATGGTTTTGAGCTTTGCTATGCTGTATTATGGTGCAAGCTTAATATATTTTGCTTGCTTGCCTGCTTTATTGCTTGCCTGTTTAGTAGCGCGGTGGGAGAAAGTATACCTATTTCTATATATCATATCTATTTATTGTGCGGATAGGTGTGCTCTGGGTACCAGGAAATCGGAGACGAAGGAACTGGCTTGTATGGTTGATTATACAAATGTTGGGCAAAGCAAATATCTTATGAGGTGGCTGAGAACGGATTGGAATGGGATGGATAGGATAGGACATGACGGGACGGGACAAAGGAAGGTATAACAGATGGGGAAAAATTACATGTATGTGCAAAACAATATCGGGTGGATTTGTGGGATAGGATTAATCCCTCGGGAGCTTGAGCTTGGTTTGTTACTTGTGATTATTGTTATTGGGGGGGGGGGGGGTTGGATAGATGGATGGGGATATTGGTGGGTAGGTGGGTTAGGTGGGATGGATAATGGACCGGGCTGGTTTGTGCAAATACAGTATAAATGATATCATATTCTTTGGACATTGACTACTTTGTTGAAGTTGGGGATCTTGTGATGAATGATTACTGAGTGAAATATATTGTGCTGTGGTTTGATGTGAACTCAGGGTGAAGTATGTAATGTGACCGAGGCATTGATCATTGAAATACATCGGGTAGATATCAAGGGGAAAATAAGTTTCAAGGAGGCTTAGGAGTGGGGTTTGAAGTAGTATGGGGTGAGGAAGTGGGTAAGGGAGTGAGATAGGGGAGTGAGGTAGGTAGGTCTACTTAAACTCTTAGTTCCTCGGTCTCGGACCCTCGGTTACTACGGGATCGGATGCGGATTCGGATTCGGATGTCTTTAAGGAGGGAGATGGATTGCAACTAAGATAACATATGCTAGTGGAGGATGTTATATGGGATATGGGATATCGATGGGGGCTAGGGAGGCTAGGGGGTTCGAGCCTTCGAGGTTGAGGATAGAGATAGAGTTGGAGTAGGAGTTAGCGATACCTGTTCGTGGAGTTGGGGTAGCTGGTAAGTTACTAAATAAGTAGTAATTATAGGTTGTAAGTTGTAGGTTGTAGGTTGTAGGTTGTAGGTTGTAGGTTGTAGACTGCGAGTACGAGTGTGAGTGTGTTGAGATTTAGAATTTGAGAGATGCATGTATGCATGTACGTATGTATTTTATTGTATTGTGGTTGGATTTGAAAGCGGATTGGAAGGTGAGGTTATATTGTATAAGTTACAACATTGTGAGGAGGAAGAGGGAAGGAGGGAAGTGTTAGGAGGAGTGGGGATGATTGTAGGGGTGGTTAGGTATATATGTTATGTAGGTATGTAGCTCGAGCTCAAGCTCAAGCTCGAGGTAATGCTAGATGTTTATAGATATCATCTAGATTCTAGAACTATACTAGGCGATATTGGTTACGGGACTAATTGGAAGAGATAACAGATACGATGTTGTATGATTAGAGTAGATTAGAGTAGGGTAGTGAACTGAAGATATGGGATCAGTACTTGAGTATACTGTATATAAGAATGTTGATTTTGGATATCCGTATTTCCCCCGACTTCTTCACCACCAATTGCAATACCAGAGACTTCTTGTTGCATGTTAGGATGATATTCTGGGAGTTTCGGGTATATATCCATGGGAATTCGAAGCTCTTGTGGTATCATATGGTCAGCTCCCTTGTTCTATTTTGATTTTTGTGCAGAATTTCGGATATTCAGATACTGGGTGGTGTTTGTTTGTTTATGTTACTGTACTACTCTTGATGTATCGGATGGGAATCAGAGGATGTTGGGTGCGGAAATGAGGATTCATTGAATCATTGGGTTTTTATTGTTTAGTAATAAGCTGATTGGTAGATGGAGACTTAACTATATATAAGTAATCGGAGTCATGGAATCCAATACGAGTACTTACTCTCCTATTACTGTTTTATTGGTTTATTATGCGTAAAGTAAGATGTTCTGCTCTGATTACTGCTTGGTTCCACTGCGCTTCAATAGATGATCTATGTACTTATACACACACATGCGAATAGCAATGTTTCACAATAATCATCTCTCAATGGCTCTGAATCTCAGTAACACTTGTTGTGATATACTCCAATATCCCCGGTATTATCTTCCTCATCTTTTGAGTGATGTAATATCCTACTTCCTTAGATAATTATCAGTTCTGTCTGGACTCTGGACATGTACTTACAACCTTTAAATTCTCTTCATACATCCCTCTCTTTCGAGATTGGTATATTCATTTAGAGTATCGGTAGGTCAAAGGTATACCGGTAGCAAAGTAAGATAAAATTAGGCATCATCGCAATGCTGGGATTATAGAATTACATGGTGTAGTGATGTATAGGACCGGTATATCTCTAAACGGGAGGAAAACGGGACATTACTTTTTAAACAATTCTCGAATGGAAGAATTGTACCTAGTTCCTTCTTACAGAAGCATGTCCCTCCGATTTCCGGATAGAAAGGGCGATTATGGCGATTGTGAGGAATAATACAGTAGATACGATATTGTGATATAATCCTGACGAATGTGGAAATAAGACTTTTGGCAAGATTTGCTCTTGCCTGCTATGCATTAACCTTACATAGAGAGAAATCATTAATTTGAATAAGTGAAGGTCATACCTTCCTGGTAGTCAGCATTCAACCGTGAAGGAGCAGGCGAGGATCGACGACCATGATGTCCGGGAGAAGTTGCATTTTGCAAGACGTAAATAACAATTTTGATCTAATGAGGGAAGATGAGTTTGTGATTGCATTGTTTGTTGCGCTCGTTTCTTTCCCTTATTTCGTGTAGGTCCATAGCTATGTGTGTGTGTGGATAGCTAGCATAGCATTATAGTATCAAGTGAGCGAGTCATCAATCGAGATTCGAGATTCAAGATTCAAGGAGGTGGGTGGGTGAGTGGGTGAGTGGGCCACGTTGGAATTCCAAGTTTTTCATTGGGGATGGAATGGATCCAATGGGATGGGATGGGATGGTACCCAAGTCGCCGCTTGATGGATGGATGGATGATTGGGATGGGTATGGAATGAGTATGTGTATGGTACTGTAGTCACCACTTGATGGATGGATGGATGGATAGGTATGGTATGGTATAGTATAAGTAATATATAATTGTAAGGTATTGATTGTAATTATTATTTTGTAATGAATACATGGATATATGAATAGATAGATGAAGGAGGGCGAAGACAGCTCTTGCTATATTGTTGGTATGGTATTGTATTGCATGGTAGTCGCCACTTGATGGATGGATGGGGATGGGGATGGGATGGTACCCAAGTCGCCGCTTGATGGATGGATGAATGGATAGATGAACGAGGGCGGAGGGCGGAGGGCGGAGGGTGGAAGGAGGGGAGGGCGAAGACAGCTCTTGCTAAATAGTTGATATGGTATGGTATGATATAATATAATATGCCACATCTATGCTCCACCCATCCATCTATCCATCCATCCATTCACATCTCGATTTTCCATTTCATAAGAACGGGACATTTCATTTCATTTCATTTTGCTTCAACTTCTCTTCAAAAAAAAAAAAAAAAGATGTGATAGTACTGTATATATATATACTCACTCAGTAAGTAGATTGATT